AGATGCCTGGAGCAGCGCCTCGAGCGTGGGAGCGTGCTTCAGCCCCTCTCCTGCTGCGCCTTCAGCTGCTCGCCTGCGGGTCCTCTAAGGAGCGGGGCTGGCGCCGTCCCTTGCTGTGTTGAGAGACCGCCTCTGCGAGCCACCTCCGTGGGGATAGTGGGCTCTAGCTGGTTGGGTTCAGAGCTAGTTTTCCATAACTGGGAGATTTCAGGACCGGCTGCCAGCGTAGCCATCGTCTCTGCGATGCAAGAAGCTGGCAGCAGGAGAGGTGTGAGCTGCAGACCCTGGTGCTCTCACTGCAGCTGTGTTTTGCTGCACTTCTGTGGCCTTGGGGTTTGGTGACTTCTTGTCACAGAAATGAAAACAAGCCCAGGTACCTGGCTGCGTTAGACATGGCATCTAATAGCACAGACAGACAATCCAGAAGTGTGACCTTATAGACATGGTAATTGCTGCTTCACAAACACATTTGCTTCTCTGGGTTTGGGTTTACTTATCAGGGCTGTTAGTCACGAGGGTGCTGTTTTGTTTTGACAGTCCTTCCTGGCATCGGCTCTGCAGCTGCAGTGCTGCTTAAATTAGGTTTCACCCTCGGAGGACTCTCTGCTCCTCTGGATTTGATGTGGATCTCTTTTTATTCTGAGGCATGAATTTGCTAACGCAGAGTTACAGTATCCCTGATACTGCACAGGATGATACCAGAAGATATACTTCCCTTCAGGGGTCTTGTAATTACAAGGTCTCTGTAAGGCAATAGGTATAATTACTGGGCTAAAAAGGTTTGCTGGTCTAAGCCTGCCCTATTCCAGACAGTTAAATATAAGCAGGGATATTTGAGTTGGTGCCTCTGCATTTTTCCATAGTAATTGTGCTTTCACAATAGCAATGTGCAAGGATTAGAGAAACAGGACTCTCTTGTGGGGTGAGAAATCCTTTTCGTAGGAAGGCAGTAACGCTTGTCCGCCCTTTGTCTGAGGTGCCTCTAAGGAACTGGTGTCCACCGACACAAGCCTGGGTGCTGATGGCAGCTGCTCCTCCAGCAAAGGCTAAGATGGCTATTGCCGGGAGATCTGACCTAGCTGCTGAATGTGAGTGCCTTTGCCCTTCTCTGACAGATGCTACCCACAGTGGGTAACGTGGGGAGCTGTGCAAGCTTCATGTGCTCCAGTAAACAACTTACGAGTGTCTCCCTGTGTGTGCCCACCAGAAAATAACCTTTCTTCTTCCAGAGGCAATACAGCAGTAGCCGCTATGAGCAAGGGACTAAGAAGAAAGCAGTTAGGTGGGGGCTAACTGTGCTGAACGAAAGTACCAGTCTTGGGAGCCCCCAGGCGTCCCGCTGCGTAGGACATCCCGTTAGACAGACTGAACAGTCCATGCAAGTGGAATGGGGAAGCAAAACTTCATGGCAGGAGAACCGACTGAAGAAAGAGAAAGGACTTTATTTAGGAAATGCAGCTTCGAACTTTGCAGTCACTGCTGAATTCATGAGGAAAGTAATTAATATCAGTCTGGCAGAGTCCGTCTGCTTTGTTTCATGGTGGCATTGGTGTGTGTTTGCTTATTCATGAATTTCTGAATGGGGGCAAGAGAACAGCATTTCAGAGCTTTTAGGAGATAACTGTTGAAAGATACCAGTAATTCCACAGGAGGTGGGATTCCCTAACCCTGCTTTCCCCTTTCTTGAGCTTTCAAAAGCTAGACAGAGGATTTGGGCATCCTATACATACCCTGTAGTATACACTAGTCCTCAGCTACTTGGACCTGGCATTGAGGCTGTTGCCTGGCTGGAATTTCCTTGTTTTAGCAATTTAACTGCCTCTCAGCAATCACTTATGGCTCAGTTACCATCTGATGTGGGTATTTGTCAACCTGGCTTTTACTCATGGTTGCCACAGTCCTCTGTGGTTTCACAGTCGTTGTAAGGCATAAACAAACAGCCAGGTCCTCAGGTCAACTTCTCTCTGGGTTTCATTCTCAAATGTCTCTTTTTGCTCTCATTCTAGACATTTACCCTTTCAGGTTTGCCAGTGCAAACAACTCTTTTTTGTTATAGTGACTCCTTCATAAAGTCTTTCTTAACAAATCAGTCCACACTTCGTGTTTGCATGCCTGTGGTAGGCATGTTTGAGATGTATAATAGGTCAGTAAGAACCAGACCATCTGCAGGGGAGCTCCACGAGGTGAAGTCTTCACATTGTGTGCTGTAAAACAGCTATGTTTGAGGCAGCATTCCCCTGGGCTGTATTCAGGGTGGACGCTACCAGTAAAACTTGTGTAAGCTTTGACTGCAAGGTTTGTGATCTGTCTTTCTACCACTGCTAATAAAGAGACGATGACTCCCCTCCCACGTATCACCCTTGTCTTCTGCTTTCGTTCTGATACTTTTCAGAAACACATGATAAAAGCTTGAGAACAGAAAATTGCCAAACTCCTAACAAATCTTTTCTTATCCTGGACATGTCTTTGACATTAAAGTATTTGGCCAGTTGTTTCTGAACTATGTGAACAGCACATTAGCAAATGGTGAATAGGTTTTTGATGTATTAGTATGTCTCAAGTTTACTTGACATTGGAGAGATTGAGAGGGGGACAATACTTTGTCAGTGGGGCTTTTGCCAATGCTAACATGACAAAATACCTTCAAGTGCCTGTGCCACAGAGTATTGCCAGAGCTAGGTCTTGAGGCGTAACTAAATCCAGTGTAGGCAACGGACTGTGAAAGCAGAGCAAATGGAAAGTCGCCTCCTGTTCTGGTTGGGTCAACCAGAGCTTTTCCATGGGGATACTAAATTGCACAAAAGATCTTGGTGTTGTTGCATGTTCTTATCTGGAAAATGCCAATAACTGGTTCTGCTTCAACTCTTACATCTACAGGAAAGAAAGAAAAAGTTTGAGAAGGATGGTGAGAAGTTTTATTCTATGCTGGACCGCCATTTGCATTTGTCTTCCAAAAAGAAGGAATCCCAGTTACAGGAGGTGTGTATGGAGTTTTCTTCAGAGTTGGGTCCAGAAGCAACACCACCAGCTGCTCTAGATCTTAAAAATGGGGGAAAATCATCCCTTTCAGTAGCCAGTTGAAATTGATAAGCAATTAAATCTACCTAAAGCCTAGATTCTCTGGATGAGACCAGGGAAATCAAGATTGTAGTTCTCCTTAGTGTGTTGAACGGTAGTAGTGGCTTTGTGCATTGTCCTTGCTTGTTCTCATCCTTATAGTGTAGGGCAGTGACCAATTATACTGGCAGAGCTAGGGATTGGCCAGCCTTTCACCTGGCTTGGGGAACTGATCTGACTGAAAAGTAACTGGTTATTATTATTTTTGCCAGCCTAGTTTCCTGCCTAGCTCGTGGGGTAGTTGTGGCAGCAGGCCCATGGTGGCAGTGAGCAGCAGGCAGAGGAGCGGGGGTGCTCCTTCCAGCTGATGTTCATGCCAAAAAGGAAAGCCCCAGCTGTTCCAGCCCACATCAAATCAAATCTGTGAAACCAGTTGTCAAACCTACAAGCATCTTTGCAAGGCAAAATTTGTGTGAGCTGTGGTAACACGGCATGCCACGTTGTCCTACGTGGTGCTGCAGCTCTGGAATTGCTGGGTTTGGGTCGCAGCAGGAGTCAGGCAAGAGGATCATGACAGTGGCCTTGTCCTCACCGGTGCCGGGCTGCGGGTGGAAAAGGAGCTAATGCTAAAATAACAATATGCTTTGGGAAAGTCTTGTCCTTGCAGACTGAGGTGAGGTTCTGGATCCATAAATGAAAGGGAGACAAAAAAGGGCAGTCCTGAGAAGAATGGCCAATGCTCCAGTCTTCCGGTTCTGTGCAAAGTGTTCAAAACCTGGGCCGGACACCTTTGGCAGGCTTTTTCTTAAGTGAGGACAGAACTATTTGTGGGCTGACAGGCAAATGCTAGTCAAATATTGTCAAGCTAGATGTGATGTATTTTCTTTTTTCACCTCTCCCTCTTTCTTCTAGGCTGACCTTCAGGTTGACAAAGAGAGACACAATTTCTTTGAGTCCTCCCTTGAGTATGTGTACCAGATCCAGGAAGTACAAGAAAGCAAGAAATTCAGTATTGTTGAACCGGTAGGAGCTTCCTTTCCTTTCAGGCCGTGTTGTTTCATGCTCAGATATGCTGACTTGCTCACAGTCGCAGGAAGGGATGAGTTACCAGGTTGGATTCAGTCCTGGGGAGTCTTGTGATGGAGCAGGAGTTAACCTTGCCCACTTGGATTGCTGCAGCTTAACAGCCTTAGTGGTGTTTGCTGGAGCAGTGTGAAGCCACAGACTTGTTTCTCATGTCTGTAAGTCGATCCTGAGGAACAGGCTGGATGCTGTAGGTAGCTAGAGGTCTTGTTATGAATTATCTTGGACACCTTGTGTTTGGTAAGCATTAGCTGTCTTCAAAGGGAGAGAGTTGTTATCTGGTCCACTTACCTGTCACGGCATGGGCTGCAGTGGTACCAGCTCGTGGCTGTGTACAAAGACCCTGCCCTCGATGGGTGGCTCTGCCCTGGCACCAGACGTGGTTGAACGTGGGATCGTTTAGGTCTCGTGGACAAGCAATCTGCAGATCTGCTCTTGTTCTCCCAGCAGGGTCTTTCATTTTGGGTGTGTTTTATTAAGACAGATGTGTGGGTGGTAGACCTGGGCTTTAGGGACATTGTGGTGGATAAGTCATACTAAAACTTGCATCACTCCAAAATTGTAAGAAATATATTTGTATATGTAATTTCTGAAACTCTGTTTCCTGTCTATCTTTCCTCTGATTAGAAATATAGAAGAGAAGTTTAATCTGTGTCCTTTCCCTCCTTTGCAGGTGCTGGCTTTTCTCCACAGCCTCTTTACTTACAACAACCTGACAGTTGAGCTCACGCAGGATTTCCTCCCTTATAAACAGCAGCTTCAACTCAGCCTGCAGAATGTGAGTTCCTGCCCAGCAGAAGTATTTTTCGCATGTGACTTCTATTCTCATTTGTATTTAAACGCCTCTGGTGGCAAGGCTTTTCCATACAAAACAGGCTGTCCATGTTTGCATTGTGGGAGGTGCAGATAAAGTTATTTCCTTCTCAGTTCACATGTGTTTTCTCCTCTCCTGCACAAGAGAGTCTGCAGGTGCTATTATAGTGTTTTTCTCTGTCTATAAGGGGCCATTGCAATTGTATCATTTAACCTTGTGCATAAACAAGCCTGAAATTTCTTCCAATTTCATGAGATCGAAATTGTACACGTCTTCTAAAAAGGCCTCCAATCTTGATCTTAATGGTATTGGCTTACTACATGCTTTGGTAAGCTCCTCCGCTGGCTAAGTATACTTAGGGGGTAGAATATCTGTGTCCTTTTTCTTTTATCCTCAGTCTTTCATGGCTGGCCCTCATTCCCGTGGAACAACAGCAGTAAATCTGTGGAAAGCTGAGTTTGCTGCTGGCTCATTAATTGGTCTAAGAAGCGTTCCATAAAAATGCCTTGATTTTGTACCCTGTATTGACATGACTCTTTAAAAATTATTTAATGCCAAGCAGTGTAGCATGATCTTTTGAGGAATCAACGCCCATGTTGTAGGAGAATACACTTGTTACCTAAACAATGGTGTGAAGAGGAGTTCGGGTGCTTCCTTCTGCTCCACCTAGCCTTAAAATGTGCTAAGTTTCTTTTACTGAAAGAACAAGTGCCCTCCCAGTCATGACTCCTCAACACCATTTCCATGCACGGTATGTTAAACCTTGTCTCTTCAATCATCTTTTACAAGCCCAGTGTTCTTATAGCTGGAGTTTTCATGTGAATTTGTGGAGAGGCTTCTGCATTTTGTACATTGGGGACCGATTCATTTCTACCAGAGTACCTAAAATTTGACCAGGGATACCTGAAGCTTGATCTTTGCTCATGTTCAGATGTGCTTCTTTTTGTTTTTTGTTAACAGACAAGGAATCATTTTTCCAGCACGCGGGAGGAGCTGGAAGACCTGAAGAAGAGGATGAAGGAAGCCCCCCTAACCTGCAAGCTACCTGGCCAGCCGACCATTGAGGGCTATCTGTACACTCAGGAGAAATGTAATGGCTTTTATGTGCACCTAAATGCGTTAAAGAATGTGTAAGCCTGGGCTGTCCTGCTCATAGCCCTGCTGCGTGGGCTGCGCTCAGCTCCCGTGCCCAGGCCAGCTTTAGCCGCGGCGTCACTGTGGGCGGTGCTGCACAGGGTGTCACTGCCTGCTAGTGCACAGGGTGCACTTTAGCTGCCAGCTTTCTCACTGGTGGCACAGAGCTTTCTGCGGGTTACATGAACCATGTAAGCAAGGAGCTAATTGCCCTGCACTCAAATTAGATGAGATTTATTACTCTGTTGTAGCGCTGGAGAGACCAGAGCTCTGGCAGATTGCACCTTGGCTGCGTTTTATCAGAACAAATCTGGTGTCCTGCCCAGCTCTTGCAGCGTGTCTGAGGGCATCGAGCACAGCTGAAGTGTTAACCAGCAATGAGTGTTAAGCTGCCGAGAGCAAAACTTGTTGTGATTTTGTGCAGAATCAAATCAAACCAAATTCAGTCTTTTACAAATACTCACTGTAGCTTTACATGGCCATGCAAGCACAAACACTTGGGACAAAAGCCTGTATGCAGAGCTGTGGCCTCTGAGTCTACAGACAACTTACTCTGTGAGCAGTTAATTTTTGGATTATATATACAAATGTATTTATACATATATTTGTATGTATATTTATCCTGCTTTTAAAAGAAAACACATAGACAGTAATTTTAGACCACAAACAAATGTTGCATGCTCCTGCATGCCAATGACTGTTTGCTGCCTCTATTTATGTTTCCCCCATAAATCGAGTATGAAGAAAGTTGTTTCTCCTGACACAGCAACTTAAAAAAAAATTACAGAAAAAATATCAGTTGAATTATTTCACATAAAGGAATAAGACAACAAAGAAAAGTGACAATAAATTTAATGTGATATAAATAGGATCTTTAGAGTGTTTTAAAGATGCTGTTGTCTTTACTGCCAAGTTTTCATCAACAGGAAAAAATAGTGGTGTCTGTGTGAAACAAGCATTCAAGACACGTAGGATCCTGCCAGCGTAGGTCTTGGCTGGACTTGGCCAAACCAGCTTGGCTTGCAACCAGAGTCCCACAAACGCCCTTTCACCAGCAGCGTTTTGGGAGGGCGCTGGAGGCGGCTGCCGCATTGCGCTCCTCTCCTCCTGCTCTTCCTGGCTTTTGCCAGTGGAGACGCTGGCGAGGGAGGTGTCCCCGCAGGGCTGGCGGTGTCTGTCCCCAGAGAAGCGCGGACATGCCTTGCCGGCTGCATCCAGCTAAGGCACTGTCTCTGACTGCAGCTTGCCGTGTGTTTCTGCAGGGGCACTGGGCATCTCCTGGGTGAAATATTACTGCCAGTATGAAAAAGAGGCAAAAATCTTACGGATGACGCCCATGGACCAGAAGCCTGGAGCTAAGCAAGTGAGTTGGTTTCTTGGAGCGATGTCTGCGAACATTGACCCAGCCATCAGGTCTCACCTTCAATCCACCCACGTAACCTCTTTCTGTAAGCAAATAGACATACAAATGCCACGTCCAGGGCAGTAGAGGCCAGCCCCGCTGTTGGGAGCAGTCGTCTGGCAGCGCCACTCCTCAAGATGTGCTGACAGTGGGCTGGTCCCGACACCGCGGCTGCAGCTGTGGAAGGATTCCTGGCCACAGAGCAGAGGGGTGGGCTTCGTGTCCCCCACCTGCCTGGCCACACAGGTGGGTGGTTTGGTGTGACCTGAAGGAAGTACTCTGTGAAGAAAAGTTTCACCTCCCTCTCTCCCAAATGACCCAAAGTCCTGCAGGGTTTGGCAGTGGAGACACGGGTTCGTGTAACATGAGCGTTGTTCGGGCAGTGGTGACTTGCAAGTTTGGTCTAGTGTGAAATTTCTGCCTTTGTAGACAAGCTAATTTTTATATTTATCCATGCAAATGGGCGGTGAACCTGTAGCCTGGTTTTTAGGCCTCTGGCAGTGATTGCAAGTACTTGAATTACTCAAGTTATTAGGTGAGTGCTTCCAAAAGCAGTATTTCTCTGCCTTTGCATGTTTGCACAGTCACTGGTCTTTGATTTTGATTTCTGTTCTCAGAACTGGTTACATGTGAGTGGGACTGGTGTTAGGAGAGGAGGAGAGGGCAGCAGTTGCAGCTCTAAACTGTGCAATAAGGCAACGATTTGGGGAACTGCTTCTTTCACAAAATGCTTTGGTTTTTACCAGTGAGTGATGTGTCTGGGAGTTCCCTGCAGTTCCTCGGTGTGACAGAAGAGGGGTAGGATGCAGGCATGGATGACGGATGGTGGCTCAGAGTACAGCAAGTGCGTCCAACTGAGTCCTCCCACCCTCCTCTGCCACGGAGCGACATCCCCTGGGGACTTCCCAGTCAGGCGTGCTGTTCTCCAGTTCGTGATCTCATGCTCTGTTCTTTGGCAGCCCTCTGCATGCTGCAGCAATAAAATAAAATGTATTTTTTGGAAGCCCTGGGCAGAGACCTTGGCAAAGAAATGTCCAAAACATTGACTGGAGAGATCGATTGTCATCTCTGCCGTAAACTTGTCTAGTAAGGCCAATTAATGTATGTAGGGGCTTGTAAAAATGTAGATTAGTCCCCTTCCCAAACTCTTGCAGTCTGGTAATCTGCACCTTCGGGTCACAGCTGGCCACACAGCTTCAAATGCCACCATTAGAAGGAGCACTCTTAAAAGCCCCAAACGACCAGCACACGCACAAAACACAGCCAGGAGATTATCATCATGGTGCGTAAGTCAGACATAATCTTGGAGGAGGCTATCCTTGCTGCCAGGCTGTCCTAGATCTGCTTGATCCGCTTCTGCCAGAGGTCTTGCAGACACAGCAGCGGTGACAGTCGGGGTGATGAACACGTTCCAGGTTTGCAGACTCAGCCCTAGGGTCTGGTTGGTTGTAAGGTCTCCTGAGTGTCTCTTCAGAGTTCCTGCAAAGTCGCAGAGATCTCACAGTCACGTTACAAATTGACTCTGCTATAGAGTCGGTTAATGTCCCTTTATTAAGGGGCACGAACGCAAAGGGCCAGAGCTCAGCCCCACAGTGCCTGCCTTTCATCAGAGTGCATCTACTCCAGATTTGGTCAGTTAACATTCTTTTTCTACAAGGTATTTTGTGTAAAGCTGTTTGGACCATGAATAGTATGGATAATTGGTAGTGCTGATCATCCCTGATAAAAATTAGGACTTAACAGACAAGCATGGTCCTGGCCTCAAAGACCAAGCGACTGCCTCATGAGGTTTGTTTATAGCAGTGTTCTTGCTCTGTGGAGGCATGTTGCTTGTTGCTGAGATATTTAGCATTTGTTTGCGGGGTAGTGCCATGAAGTCTAGAACATTTTGTGGCTGAGGAGAGGAAGCCTGGCTCACAAAGCCTTTGATCTCTGTCTTTGTTGATGGTGGAAGGACTGTCTGTGCTCCTGGTACCAATGCCATCGGATTGGCAGGGCACCCGCTGGGAGCCTGGTTCTCTACAGGCAATGCTGTGCTGGGCTGCAGCCTAAGGGTGCTGAGGAACCTGAAATCTTCTCCCATATTTCTTTCCTCTAATCTTGGCTTTAACTTTCTCTCCCAGGGCACCTTAGACCTGACGCTGAAATCCTGCGTAAGGAGAAAGACTGACTCTATAGACAAAAGGTTTTGTTTTGACATTGAAACTAATGAAAGGTGAGATGCTTTAGTATTCAAATGTCCTCCAAACAGATAAACCCTGTAAACCTGGATGAAATCACATTCTGCTGTTTATAAAAACAACTTTTGCTTCATTTTCCCTCCTGTCCCTGGATGAACTCTGCGCAGGTCTGGGACCATCACGCTGCAAGCACTCTCAGAAGCCAATCGAAGGCTGTGGATGGAAGCCATGGACGGGAAGGAGCCGGTAAGTGTTCAAGAAGCTGTGAATGTGCTGCCCAGCAGTGTCCTCTGCCGGCGGGTCCTGGGGAAGAGCAGTGACACAGCCACTGGCAGGCTCCTTTTTACAGCTGTCACTTCACTGCTGTTGCTTACCTGTAATTCAGGCATCAGTTCAGCCACTGCACAGCCGAAATGGGGTTTTGTGCTGTTCTGCTCGCGGCACAGCTTGCAACGGGGATTTTATTCTTCCCCCTTTAAAGCTCTGGTTCATTCCCTAGTTGTGCCAGACTGCCTAAGGACTGGCCTTACTGGGTCTGAAGGCGTGATATTTCTTTTGCTCACAACTCGCTCTCCAGCCTGCGGGAGGTGATTTTTTTGTCTGTCCCTGCTCTGAGCAGCGTTTGGAAAGTCTGGCCCATGGGAGCAATGTTCCAATGTTCGCCCACCTTTCTGTGCCTGCTGGTGTTTCCTTCCTTCAGTCTGAACAAAGCACAGACTCCTGCGTTTTACCACATTTCCTCTAAATGGACAGTGTGATGCGCAGTGCGGGAAAACTCGTTCCTGACAGCTCCCCTTGCCTTTGGAGAGCTGCCTTTCCCTCGGTGGGCTCGGTGAAGAGGGTTGGCATGAGTGCGCTTGCTGACCTGTTCAGGGCTGTGTGGCTGCTCACGCGGAGGTGGGATGTGGGAGCGGGGAGATGGGACATGGGCACCCTCCGCAGCACTTTTCTTCTACTCATTTGAAGAGGAAAGGACATGGGATAGTGTGGAGAGGGTCAGCATGCTCGTGCTGGGCAGCCAGTCACTTAGGGGATGTCTGGAGTTCACTTGGTTTGCATGACGTGTTTTTATGTATAAAGGATTTTTGATTTTCTATCAAGAATGGCATCTGCTGTTTATTATTAATAAAAAAATACAAAATTTATTTTTGTATGGGATGAAGGAATGTCTTGATGCTTGAATTTTTAAAAACAAGCAAACAAACAAAAAACCCACAACCCTTGTGTGCCAGATTGTCCAGCTGCTGTTTTTACAGGGCACCTAAAGGACAAACAAATTTTCCTGGTTTTGGGAGACCTCTTTCCTAGAAATAGGTGCTCCAGTGAAATGTAGGAAGTCAGCAAAAACTCATTTGTTGTGTAGATAATGGTATCTTGCTTAATTATAAAATGACATTTCTTTGGGACATTGTCTTACTGTTTGTGACTGGCTTTGGGTGATTTGTGGGGTGCTGCATTTTCTTTTGAAAATAAATATCAAATCACATCGCATTTTGGTTTTGTTTCTTCCTCCTCCATTCCCTCCCCTTTTTCAGATCTACCACAGTCCCATCACGAAACAGGAAGAAAGTGAGTCATTTCTGTTGCTGTTCCTCTGAGCTGTCGAAGCTGTCCGGAGGTCAGGCAGTCTATTTCCTTGCAGATACACTCGTCCTCGATTTCTGCTGAATAGGCTGTGTATTCCCTCCGTGACAGCAGTGTAACTTCTTTCCTTTTCATCACAGGGTCTGATACTGAGGCCAGATAAGAATGAGTTGCAAACGGTAAAAGTTATCAATTGCAATGTGCAGTTTTTATTTAGCAAGAATAAATAATAGCAGGATACAGAGTTCAATTTGCACCTCTAAACCCCAAGATAACAGGGGGGAAAAAAGAGATTTTGAGGACATTTCCCTTAGCAAAGATTATAATAGGAAAATAGAGGTGGCATTTAGTTCCCTGGAGCTCCCATCCCACCACCTTGTCCCGTGTCTCCGCTTTCACAGACGGGGTGTCCCCTACCCGCCACCCCTGCAGCCCCCGGGGCAGGCTGCCGCCCCCCTTGCCTTTCCCTGTTCACAGCCCATCGCTGCAGTGGCTGAGCATGCTGCCCTGGAAAACTCTGGGCCTTCATTAGCTGGGTGAAAACTTGCATTCTGTATCTTAGAGCTTACTTTTGTCAGCACTTTAATTAGCTGACTTTAATAAGCGCAGAGGTAGCATTATCAGCAAACCTGTTGTTTGACTGTGTTTGCATTACACGCCTGAAAAGAATGCGACTCAGTGTTTCATAAAAGTAAATACACTCTATTTTTAATAGATTAGAGCTAGAAAGACTTCAAGTCGTATTACACCACTGAGTACCAAGTACCGAATGGATCTGAGCTTAACAGTGTCTTTACTCATTCCTGTGTTAGAGCTGAGATATGTCTGAGCTTTTCCCTGCTGTTGCTCAGAGAAGAGAGAATCATTACAAACAACTTGCTGAAAATACAGTGATTTCATAGGATTTGCCTGTGCTGTGATTGAAGTTGGTCCAGATGTGTCCTATGGCTGTTTTTTCAAGTAGAATGTTGTTATACGTTAAAAAAAAAAAACAACCACCCCCAGAAAAACGCTACAACTCACACAACCCCCTCCCCCCCCAAAAAAAAACCCACCAACAAACGCAAACCTACAACAGCATGGTCATTTGCACCGAACAGAGAGATATTTTACATTATAACTCGGACAATCCTTCCATATATCTTGGAAAAATTAGCAGAAGTAGTAGTGTGATTACAGAAGTTGAAATATGTGTATAGAAAAAAATCCTGACTTTCTACCTGCTTTCAAAACAGGCACAGAGATAGTCTGTGGTTAATTGGCTGGAACAAAAACTTGTGTTCTGCTTTACTCAGCATATCAAGCTGTATTGTTTTTGCTTTTTAATCTAGTCAAGTGGATAAGCAGAAATTACATGATCCCATGATGTGGAAGAGCTTTAACTGCAGATTTTGCAGTGCTCTGGAAATGATTAATCAACTCCTTATCAGACACAAATTCACATGTGGCGGGACTCTGATTTACACTTTTATTATTAAAGACAGAAAGAGGGTAGGGAGCAATGCTGTAACTCAAAATAGACTCAAAGAAAAATGGAGAACATGTGGAACTAATAGCTCCTTGTCAGGATTTAAAGAATGCCTGTGTTTTCATGGGGGGATGTACACGATGCACGCACATGTGAACCCAGCTGCGTGCTGGGGCACTGCAGCTTTGTGTGCCGAGCAGGGTCTGGGTATGGGGCCTTCCCAGTAGTTTCCCACAGGGAGCCGCGTGCTGGTGCTCAGGCAGCTAACACTGCTTCCCTTGTTTGAAACAGTGGAGTTGAACGAGGTCGGCTTCAAGTTTGTACGGAAGTGCATCAACGCAGTGGAAACGAAAGGTAAGGTGCCCGCCATGGCACCAGGAGGTGCCGCCGTCCTGGCATGCATTGCTCCCGGCGGCCTGGAACCGTATTGCATTTTCTGCGGCGTAGAGCTGTTAGTTAGAAGTCAAAGTCTCATGTCGTTGACTGAAGAACACGTCAGAGGAGCAGAAAGCCTGCGCGGTCTGGAATGTTGTTACACCAAATTCCGGTTAGGAATGAATTTCCACTTTTATGCTGTTTTCATTCATCGGTTTCTCAACTTTGGCTCTGAGAAAACTCATTCTTAGGCAGAAGGAGAACAGCTCTGGAAGTCTCTCCGTACTGGGGGTACAGGCAGGGGTTAACTGGGGTACTGGGTTATTCAGACCCATTTTGTTAGAAGCAGCAGGACAGAAGCAGGCTGGTGGATGTTAGCTCACCCTCTGGTCTTTCATGAAACGCCCAGCCTGTACCAGTGTACATCGCCAGCACGGGCTGTAGGATGAAGGTAAATCACTCCAGAACAGCTGGATCCCCAGGCTGCCGCAGGGAAAGGTGGCAGTGGTTTCATTTCCAGGACCTTTGCAGGGTGTGGCCAGCCAAGCCCCGCTGAAGTGGGGAGGAGCAGGGTAAGGAGACCCTCCTCGCAGAGCTGGGCAAATACATGGGTTCTGTCTTTCCTGACATCAGATAATGTTTTCAAAGAATCTGCTTAAGTGTGTTTGCCTTCTGTGACAATTTGAACAAATTCGTGTTAAAGCAGCACTCTCCAGAAATGGCATATTTAGGCAGGTAGGGCTTGCCAGCTCAAGCGTGTATTCCACGTGTCGGCTGTGCTTGCCTGACCATGACACGATCCCGGCAGAAGGTACACATCCCGGCTGTGCTGGTGGCCATGCCCACCGTGGGCGAGCGGAGCTCCTGCCCGCAGCCCCCTGACCTCTGCCAGCAGAGCTGGGTGCTGGCAGCAGCAGCCCCTTGCTGCGGGGCAGCCTGGGGTGCAGGGGACAGAGCCTGGGTGGTTCCCGGGGCAGAAGCATTTCTGCGGAGCCAGCACCCCGACAGCTGGGAGAGGAGTTCCACTAGATGGGGCTTTTGGACTTCCCACCAGCTGGGGAAGACTCTTGGCTAACGCTCTTCGGCTTTCTCCTGCTTAGGGATTACTACGGAGGGCGTCTACCGGACTGTTGGCAGCAATATTCAGGTGCAGAAGTTGCTGAATGCCTTTTTTGGTAAGAGTTAATTATTCCGTGCAACTAGATTGTCCTGGTTTTGTATTGTTTAAGAGGGACAGAGAGGATCAGGGTTCACAGTGAGAAATGTCCAGCATGGTTTTTTTGTCCCTGTGGCCCCTCTGAGGCACATCTTCCTCTTCTCTTCTGGGCTTTTTTCTGCAACTAGGGCTCTAGTGCCTCTCCCTTTAAACTGCATTTATTTGTTGGTGGTGCAGCCTGCATTTTAAGTTAAGTGAGCAGCAGCAAGACCCTGGAGCAGTGGGGACAAGCCTTCTTCCATCGCGTGCTAAAAATATTCAGGCATTTTGGAGTCACGTGCTGGGGATGCATTC